GAGGACACAACACCATTTTGCCAGCTTCCCGTTTACATACGATCAGTACCATATACAACTGTTACGCTATAGATATAGAATACACGAGCAATGCAATTATCTGCAGGTAAGTAGACATATCACAATTTTAAAAGTCTATAATTGTCTTAAACACGTTACATTTCTAGGAAACGAGTAATATAAATTAATACGGTTATAGTATTAATAATTGTTCACGTTTAATTTATGTATCTCAAGAGTTGGTTTTACGTTTATGCGTGAAATTACTAGCACGTTGGGGAAATTACGCAACCCGAATTAAAAATTTGTGAAGCGATTCTGCGTATCACGATGAGCATTTAATGTCTATTTCGGAGCTTTTTTGGATGTGAGTGGTCTAATGTAGAATACTTTTCGAGTTGCAGAATGGTTCAAAACTACAAACGTAAAAAGACAGCGTTTGACACAGCTACAATGGAACAATCGGTTGCCCAAGTTAGAAAAGGTATCGTGAGGTACAAGAAAGCTGCCAAGTTGTACGACCCGAAAAAGGAGGCAATTCGAGACTACGTAAAGGGAAAAGCCAGCAACAGGGGAGCTGATAGAAAAATAGTTCTTATTGAAGCAGAACTTTCCAGTTTTTAAAACTTGCCCAGTGGGGGGTTGGATTCACATGCACAAAAGTGATGGAAATTGCGAGTGATTTTATTACTGTTGGTCAAGATAGGACGGTTCCTTCCAAGAAGAATGTTCCTGGTCGAGATTAATTATGGATTTTTCTAAAGAGATATCCGGATCTGAGAAGCCGAACTGCAAAATAACTAAAAAAAGTAAAAGCTCAGTTGGCTGCAAATAAACAGGCATTTGATGAATGTTTTCAGCCGCTTAATGTAACCCTTATAATCAATGGCATTATGAATATGCCAGAAAGAGTTTACAATTGTGATGAGAGTGGCTTTCAACTCGAGCCTAAGAGATTGAAAGTGGCTTGTGAAAAGAGGATCAAAAGCCTTTTCCGGGTCATTAGTGGCTAAGGAAGAGATTCTGTCACCGTGCAAGGATGTGCTCGGGCTGATGGGACCACGTATCCTCCATATTTCCTTTGTGGGGCCAAAAATCTAAGTTTCATGAACGCAAAATGGACCTGACAATGCTAGATACATTACCTCTTAAAAAGGTTGGATGGACAGTGCTTAGTTTAGTGACTAGTTTATCAACAATTTTATTCCATTTATACCAGATAGAGCTGTTCTGTTAATTGTGGATGGACATGCTTCACGTATGAAGATTATAGTCACTAGGGCAACAATTCAATATGGTCTTATAACTGTGAAACGTTCATTAAATTCAACCCACTAGCTCCAATCGCTTGAGGTTGGTGCCTATGAACCAGCGAAGACAGAGTGGGAGAAAGTGCTTATGAATTTTGCCAGGCAGAACCGAGGTAAATCTTAGCCAAAGAACAAGTTCTTATTCTTCTGAAGTAGTTATGGGAAAGTGACTGTCTTAGCAAAGGAAATACTGAATCCGGATTTAGCAAGTGTGGCATCATGCCGTTTTACCCTCCCAAAATTTCATCATATGTGTATGAATCTGCAGAATATATGGTCAGCATTCCATCAACATCAATAGCGCACGACGCAAGTCGACAAGTGTGGGCATACGGCGAGACGACAATGAATTGAATCGGCCAACCGTTTCCATTCTGTCAACAGATTTTGCCATGACAACGGAAGCAGCTTTATTTCAACTTTCCACATCCATAAAAAATTTCGTGCAGCGATCAAAAAACTATTAGACACTTTCTCACAGCAGGCAGTCACATTTCCTGAAACAAAACACTTAAAAACAGAGAAAGGCAATTAAAAGAAATTATGGAGAAATTCTGCCTGCTCAGCAATGTGTGGAACGAATGGAGCAGCAAAGGTAGAAAAAATCAGAAGCTTATGAAGAAATTCGCATAAAAATGATCGTAAGATCAAATTGATTTGGACAAAATGAAACCATCCAGTGCACATGATCTGAAAGATACCATGGATCAACTGCTTCGTGATGTCGTCGTAAAAGCAGGAAAAATCACTCGTTCACAAAGATATCCGTTAAATGAACTGCACGTGCTCAATAAGACTACAAATGTTTTAGACAAAGATAAACCAACCTGTTTGTATGCACAGCTCAGAAATGATTCCATGGAAAAACAGAGTAGTGGTTTAGAACCTTGAAATGTCATCGATTTTTCCATTTTGGACAGTGATGATGAGTGGTTGCCTCCAAAGGTGTCCAATAGAAACAAATTTGAGAAATTCTGTTTCTGAGAGACAACCTCAAGTGCCTGCCAAGTGTTTGGCTGTGGTATTTGAAAAACCCTCACTAGGACAGAAGCTGTGGAATTGGTCCGTTATCCTATTTTGTCAAAATATCAATAAAATGCAAATATATTAGTTACAAGTGTTTTCAGTAAGGTACTTTCGGCAACATTTAATCCAAAGTATTGCTATCCATATATGAATACTGTTAATTACTTTGTATTATTATGCATATTTCAAGAACTGGGGGCGGAATTACCCCAATTTACTGTATACATTTCACTGCTATGAAAGTCGGCTGAAGAATTTCGTCTTCCATAAAACGCTTACCAAGTATCACTTTAGCATGCTTCTCAGTGAGAGTATTAAGCGTTCCCACATACCGCCCCGCTGAATACCGCAGGGCAAAATGAATGTCCATCCGCAAGTTCCTCTGAACTGTCCCAGGCTGGACATTGCGCATCATTCGACAAATTATACTTCGATTTTACGTTAGTGGACTGAAAAGTTAACTGAATTGCGTTCATAGAAGACTCATTCGTTGGCATGCCCAATAGGATTTGACAGTCATTTTACTGTTACTCCCATGTGTGCGGTCAGAAGATAAGCTTCTTCAACGATGCTGCAGCTTAGAAATGCAATCATCCATGTGAAACCATCGATGATTCAGGGCCTGCACCGAATCGGGATACGCATCTCTAATCTATGGCAGCGTTTTGAGTGCAAGTGACATTGCACCGAGAGGGTAGAACATCATGTGAAACACTTACAATTGGCAATACGGCCGTTACAGGAGGCAAGGATAACCCATCTCTTACGGTGCCACCCTTGCTTCGATATCTGCAAGCATCGCAACGGTACGCGGTCTGAACCTGAGTGAAACATGTAGGGGCATTGCCATATTGCCGATGCTGATCGTTAGACATGCTAACCGGTCGGCGGACTATCGGTTTTGGCTACACAAGCTGATATCAATTCACACGCTCACGATGAACGCTGAAAGCTCAGTGAACCGACTGTAAAATAAAAACCACGCACACTTTTACGCGCGCTCGTCCGTACACACATGTGCACACGCGAACTTAGCACACACGGCTATCCAGACCTTTCGTGTAGCCCAAACGTGCGTCGAAACACAGGCGTTTCGTAACCAACAGATTGCCCAGCGAATCACAGATAAGTCAGACACTAGTTTGCACTTGTTGTATTCAATTAAAAATTATACTGTATACGAACTGTACACATGGCTTAGACACCACTTAGTATTATTAGCGTGCACTTTTTGATCACATCATATACATAGAAATCGTATTAATAAACACTGACCGAATATTCCACCAAATCGAGGTTTTTCAACCACCATTGGTATGCAATAGCGCTGTCGAATTTCCCGGGTTTTGTGTGTGCGTCACTGTGTGATGCAGTATAGAGAACGGGCCGTTCATTTTTCCTTTCGGTCTCACGTCAATTGGTTCCGCAAAACCTACTTGAATAGTATTCTTCCCCAGCAACAGTGAAGTTTAGACTCGACTATTGTTCTACGCAGATAGCAACTTTCTGAGAAGTGTTGGATAGGAGTGTGTATCCATTCCTCCACGGTGAATCGAGTTGACAGCGGGAACCGCAAGCAGTGATGGACGAATCCACCTGCTCTAAACCGCGCCTATATTCGACGAACACTATGGTCGCAAAATATATGGCCAAGTATAATCCAACTCGTGGGTTTTTGTGAGGGAGGTGGATCAATGGCCTCTTACGTTGCATCTAATGCCCAAACAAGACCAAGCAAAATTCAACCCGTACATACGGATCTACAAAGATACCCAAACATCTGAGGAACCTCACACAGAAAACTCTTACTATGAATGCTCCAGACGAGCGAGGTTCCGTTCAGAGCTAACCGCACTCCCAAATGAGGCTGCGTGTTGCACCGCAAAGACAAGGAGGGTTAGCAAATCTCAGCAATGGATTCATAGTCGCCAAGACACAATCCCATCGCGCGGTTAAGCAGTTGAGGCGCCAGATATCAGGTTCATCACCACTTGAAGAGCGTAAACAAGCGTGAAATCGTTCTTCAAGCGTAATGTCGTGAGGAAACAACACAGAAAGCTCCAAATCTAGGATGCGATCTGAGTGCTCGGAAAAACCGAGAACTGCGGCAATGGGAATGTCTAACTGTTTTACCAGTCAATACACGCGCAGCGCAGTGACCTGGTCACCAATCACTACAGAATGGGCTCCAACCCCACCTGTTGTGGTGTTCGGTGCGAGGGAATGAGCACCACCGCATACATCCCCAGCTTGGATTGTTTTTAAACGAGCGGAATAACCGAGGTCCAATGTTCGGTTGTGCATCGCAGTCCCAAAGACATATCACACTTTCTGAAAGATAATGAACCAATTTGGGATATACACGATGCGCCTGCATAATCTATCCGTCAAATAATGAGAACAACCCAGTGGTACACCGCATTTTATGCAGATGAGGAAGTTTAGAGTAGAAAGAACAACAGTACAGCAGTATTCAAGGAGATTTTAGACAAGTATAAAAGCCAACAGTCGAAAGGATTGCAGGGAAGCACAAGATAACTCTTGAGGTGTCAATGCGAACCGGACTCGATCATCAGCAGATGGAAGAAAATGTGGTTCGAGATGGCCATCACTTAAAACAGGGAGTATAGATAAATGGGGCCAATGTATCACTGAGGTCCGGACAGGTGGGGGAATGGGGGTTGTACGAAGATCAAAAATAAAAGCACGAAAATAGGAGATGAAGATGACGGATGAAGATCGAAAACGTTTTGAAATAAAAACATATGTAGGAAAACACCATGACGTAGGTGACGGTACTGTACACACAGGAAGGATGAAGAAGCAGCTAAGTAATCATTAAATATAGCAGGGTGTTTCTTGTCCAGTAAGCAGGCGGAATACGGAGGTAGGCATTGTGCGAATGTGAATCTGAAAGTAGTAAACAAGGTTGTGTGTTAACGCTTATGACGAATCTACTCATGTTCAAATTAGATCAGATGTCAAGGGAGGAGATAACACGGAATGGCATGTGAAGTGGACACTGGGTCGACTGAGGCTAGTTTTGTGAGTTAATAAGAAGCAAAAGAGAAAAAGTCGAGGTACGTTGAAATAAAAAGCTGAATTTAGGGAGCACGCTGTGTGGTTGAGTTGCGACTGGCAACCTCTATTGAGACCTCGGCTCACTTTGAGGTAAACCTCGGTCATTCCGATCTCGAGGACCGTATCCCGAATGGATATATTTGGGTGTTGCTCTTCCCAGTGTGGAGAAGAGCAACACCAAAATAGATCCACGTTGAAATAAGCTTCACAAATAGCAAACAGTGTCTTCAGCAATCACATTGGCACCGTGGATGTACTAAAGGACGGGATGAGTCCAGAAATCTAACACAAAAGGAAAAATATGAGATTAAGCAGACATCAAGAAGACAACAGTGGGACTTAAGGAGGAATTTTGTTGGGACAACGAGCAAGCGCGACAGATGCGGTAAAGAAGCTGTAGAAGAGATACGAAGGCTCGTGCCGCGAAATCATTGTTTTCATTACGGATTCCTTCACGGTGTGCTCTGTCGCCCCATCTCGGCTCTGATTCGCTGACTCAATTGTCAGCCCAACTATACGTTCCCGGTCATAAGGCCCACTTGCACTTTGAGGAGTTGTTTCACTACCACATCTGTTTCAATCCGTTAACACTGACGTACATTGAGGTGAACGAGATCTATGCTTGTTACAGATGGCATCGCTAGTCGCTTTATGGGCGATCCGATTTCTTTTGATTGTCTGTCCCTTGGCGTTGTTCGGATATAAATTGAAGTGCCATTAGATCGTTAACCACATGCTTACGGGGCATTGCCCGTGTCGAATAACATCAAAGTGTCCACAAAAATGAGGTTTTCAAACGAGTAGTGAATAAGTTGCACGTGCCACGTATGCTGGGCCGTCATTTAAAGCTGAGGATAACTCGGTTTTAGTTACGGTACGCATGAGCCCAATTGTAAATTTAGTAGTGGGAAATGAAACCACTGACTGCTGAAAATTGCATCATTGACACCTTTCGCCTTCCAGGTTGTAGCTCACGCAACTCACGTACTTGACTCGGCACCTCGCCAGAAGCTTGTACGAGGAGAGCAAATTCAGCCGATTCGTATTTAGACTATTCATTTGAACCTTGGTTGCACTGATTTATCTACAACGCAGGGTTGATTATGAAGTAGGCCGATAAGTCATGCAGAACACAGCTAGTCAATACCACCATATTTTCGAACAGTAGTGCCCTATGCAGTTTCGAATAACCAGGTAGCAGCATTACGTCCTTCAAAGAAATGATGGACTGTTCCGTATTGCACTCGAATCTCTTATACCCTAATTTGATGTTCGTGTTTTTCGACGGATTCGTAGTTGAGGACATCCGCTTCCGGAGTCGCCTGTCACACCGGTCTCCATAGGACAACCACAAAACGCTTGCGCCTACACAGGGACCATGGGTAGCTTGCGTTGAACCGCCAACAGCCCAATATCCACACCCCTAATATCAATCAACAGAGCTAGCCCACACTCCTACAATACGAACATCAGCAGCATTCCTGTCTATTTATGTGGAGACTCATGCGTACCAGACGTAGGTAAGGCGGTGGTTGAGCTTTAGTCCACTCCACACTAGATGGAACCACCCTTTGAGCCTAGCACCGTCACGAGGACTGCGCATCCTGTCTATCCCAGTAAAGATTAACAGTCTCTTGGAGCCAATCTAATCCAGGTGGATGGCAACGGACAGCTAGGTATCTTGTCAACATTCACAGCAAGAGCAGCCATGCACTACATATTACACGGGAGATTTCATGTGTCAAGCACATTAGTCGCCTGGGTTAGTAAATGGGATTGAACCGGAAGCAGCGCTGCGTTGATGAGTACATATTTAGCTTACACGCCTTAGATGTCACCACGTAACAGCGTCCGTCTTACTAAGCCAGTTTGGCTGAGGCACTCGCGACGCATGCGCTACAGCACAATGCGATCGACGTCGATAGGCCATCCCCCACTGACGCATATGGCTTCTTCAATCAATATTTCTTTTTGCATACAGTTGCGATTTCTCATGATCATCGCCAACCACCCTCTTGATATGCTCTCGCTACCGGCGCCGACTCACCGTCATTGATTCCCTATACGCAGAATATATATATATATATATATATATATATATATATATATATATATATATATATATGCCCCTTGCTGAGGCTGATGTTGCATTCATGATGCTTCTTCACCGTAGTTGGGCTAAACCAACTTACACTTAAACTAGGTCTTTTTAATGTGGATAAAATTCGTTACATGTTATTTGGTTTGTTCTGCGTACTTGATAATCTTCTCCTTACTTGCACACGTCGCTCACGCAAATTGTGGTAAACTTGCGTAATTTTATCGCGTGGTATTTTTTAAATGACTTTCGGACATTTTGTAATTATCACGGATTCACTTATAACCGACTTCTTCTATATGCTCATTTAGCGAGTATTTATGTCGTCATATGCGTTTACTTTAATCGATATCGGCATTTCGAATGATTGGCTGTTCTTTGATATCCCAGGTGTGGCTGCGCTTGATGTGCATGTTGACAAGGTGCCTACCTGTCTATTACCCACTACCTCGTCCATATTGGCTCCAGGAGACAGTTGGTCGTTGCTGGAGGGGACGGGGTGCACGGTCCTTGTGGTTGTGCTAGGCTCGAAGAGTGGTTCCATGCACTCAGTGTGGAGCGGACTACGGTCCAGCCACCGCCTTGTGTGCGCTTGATTCCCCAAATACAGCGTGCCTTTGTTTGTCTGTGAAGGAGTGTGGGCCGGCTCCGTTGATGAAACGTGGCTCCCATCTGCATGCCTCCCGGTCTTATTCCTTCGGTTTTACACTGGATATGGGGTGTGTGGATGGAGCTGTGGGTGGTGCAGCGCAAGCCATCCATGGTCCCTCTGTAGGCGCAGGCGTCCTGTCGCTGACCACAGTGACAGGCAAATCCGAAACCGGATGCCGCCAACCATATATATATATATACCATTTTCACTTTAAACTGGACATTTTTCAAACCAAACTGGACATTTCGCAAACCAAACTGGACATTTTGCAAACCAAACTGGACATTTTGCAAACCAAACTGGACATTTTGCAAACCAAAATGGACATTTTGCAAACCACATTGGACATTTTGCAAACCAAAGTGGACATTTTGCAAACCAAACTGGACATTTTGCAAACCAAAGTGGACATTTTGCAAAACAAAGTGGACACGTTGCAATCTAAGTAGCAACTCGCCAATTTGTTGGTAAGAAACGAGCAGTAAGACTGCTGAATGATGTTCAGAATATACATTGTGATGACGCTAATAAACCGGCATTTTGTAAGCAGCGGGCTACACTGTAAAACATTTGCTTGATCGTGAGCAGCGACCGAAGTTCTGAACTATGCTCCCCTCTCCCCATTGACATTCGCCTAGTTGGTGTGCAGTGCCCATACGCATCAACCTGTGTTGGTGTGTGACAATTGGAAAATCGGACGTCCGAATCGTAATTGTGTATCAATCATTTTGTGAGTGGATTGCGATGCGCAATCTCAATGTGCACCGTTATTCTCATTAGAGGGAACCTTGTCCGATTCGGTCAATGGGACCATGTCGGATGAAGCAGGTAGGCGGTATCCAAGCTTCGCCCGTCTCTCTATTAGCTTTCGCAACTGCCACGTTATTGTATCAGCGTAGGCTGTAATGACCCCCAGCAAAACCAGTCTAGATGTATAGCCTATTGTTGCAACAAATCAACTACTGAGGAGTGGGCCGATTACACGATGTTCAGGCCACATTGTGGTCACGATAATGTAACCGAACTGCGTACGTAGCGTGTGATTGTGTAAGCCCTTCTCTTGACATGAGTGCCGTTCGCCTCGGTCAAAATCGGTGACCTATTTTCCCCTACACCCCCCCCCGTAGGAATTCGTGTGTTTTGTCTGGGTGTGTGGACAGACCTATGCAGCGGTACCACAATTGGAGCCGAGCATACGATAATGGTTCCACTCAACCGAACATAGCTTTATTAGCTCCGTGCCGCACGAAACGACCAAAATGAGTGACGAACAACAGAAGGGTTGTCCGGCTGTCGCTTTCGTCAGGTTCCTCATCATATTGAGAACGCAGTTCATGCAGTCCTGCTGCGTGGCCATCCCAACGCTGTCCTCAATGACCGTGCTCAGCGTCTGCTCAGGTGTAGGGTTAATAAGCAGGCGTCTCGCCGACGCTTTCACCTTTGAAAAGACGTGTTCTACCGGGTTTGGCATGTACGAGTAGGGCGGCAAGAACTGCAGGTGATAAGACTAACCATGGATCCTCCTTAGCTCATCAGGCATATGGATCCTGGCATTGTCCATGATCAGCCACGCGCCGTTAATCTCCACTATGCAGCTTATACGCGCCACCAGTTCCTCGACGAAGGCTGAGAACTACGCATCATTGCAGGTGCCATCGTTAATGATTTTGAATGGATGACGCCTTGGTTATTCATTGCAACAATCAGTGTTACTGTGCGACCTCTGACTGTGGGCACACGACGTTCGCGCGCCTCCCTCTTCTTGAGCGAGCCTGAGTTTGCCTCAGATGAAGGTTGAAACCACTCTCATCTATGAAGATGCATTCCTTTTTGTTCGAAGGTGCATGTGCCGAGAACTCGAGAGCGTACGCCTGTCGGCCAGCGATTGTCGTGGCACCGTTGACACGGTCGAGCTCGTAATGACACTTTTTGAGATTTATCTTTAGTCTTCTGAGGGCGTGGAAGACAGAGGATACTGATAGGTTTATCCCATTCTCTCTCAGGCGCATCTGCAGCTGCACCAACGTGTCCTCAGAGTGCCGTTCAACCGCTTTTCGACGCGCTGCAATACATTGGGAG